ATTAAAATATCAAGAGACTAAAATAATTTAAATTAATTTTTAAGAGACCAAATTATTCTAAATTACTTCTTTAGTAATCTAGATTAAACTTTAAAAAAATATTACTTAATTTTTTCTAAAGAGACGAAATTAAATATATTTAGACAGATGACTATTATAACCATGTATGCTCATAAGCTACTTCACTACCTCGTAAGCTATGAGGCAGGGAATTGGTAGTTTACAGTTGAACTATTAACCGGACTAGTCACGAGTGTGTAGTTGGGACTCGAGTCGGTGCTCAGTAAACCGGAGTCGAGTTACGGGACCGTGCGGGTGATGACTGATCAACTCCCGAAGGGCTATAAGTGCACAATGTCAGTGGCGAGGACGGGAACCGAAACAACCGGTCACAGATGTTGCCTGGACCGAGCCCAGGTTACCGGGGGAAGGTTCGAGTTCGAGGTTGGAGGAACGAAATGGGAATGTGCTCTCGACGGACGGTGTCCGTAGAACCCGGCACAGGGTCAGGGTCGTTGTTTCGAACTGGAGCAATCCCGAATCGACAAGGGAACAAGGCGTACTGTACCTGCAGGGAACACGGAGATTGCTCATTCCTCGGACTCCGGTGGTCCTTCCGGTCTTGCGACTAGGTGGACTGTAACTACAGTGCACGATTTGGCCTCGTCGACCCGCCGCCGTCGCGACCCTCTCCACCGTTGCGACGATCGTCAAATCATCGAGTCCAGCGCACTCAAATGCGCCGCCGACGGAACAAGGCGGATGCTTACTGGCCAATCGAAGGCTCACATCTGGGTTGAGAGATGGAGATCTTGCTGACGTGGCTGACGAGTCGGCGGTCGACGGTAGCTCGGTCACGTCGTCGTCGTCGCGACTCAGGACCCCGGAGAGGAGAGGAAGGTAAGCCCACGATGATGCGGGTACGTTTTTGGGGGCGACGTGTAAAGGTACCCGTGGCACACAAAGGTAAAGGTCGCCGAAGGTTTAGCTGCGAGGGTTCGAGGTTTGGCAACTGTAGGCTTTGACGGAAGCGCCATGTGGAGAGACATGTTCAGAGGTGCGAGGCCGATAGTGGAGCGCCAGGGCGCATGATGACTCGAAATGCGTCTGCATGCATGGATAGTGCTGCCTTAAAGCTAATTGCCCGGTACTAAGTTACAGGTGCTGAATTCTGTTGGTGAAAAACTGTGTGAGCAATATAATTTAATCAATCACGTAACATCAAGTACAACGCATCAGATAAGATATACGTCGAATCAGGTAGGGGCAAGCGCCAATGCAGCTACCACCAGCTCACTTCATTTCAGCATTTCAGCATGAGTTTTATCGGAACTACAGTCTACTGTAAAGAGGTGCGGATGCGATGGACTGGTTGAATGTTTGAGTTGAGTTCACATCAGTTGCGGTGTTTTGGGTGAAGGAAGTGGGTGAGAGAGCAGATATGCGGGACAACGATTGATGAATGGGATTGGCTATTAGAGCACGTACTGTACTGGATTAGTTAAACTCGGCTGACGGAGTGCCTAGCGTAGATGAGCATTACCGGTGCGTTATGTCTTTTGGGCACAAGCTTTGGAAAGCGAGGGAAGTCAGAGAAGTGTGATACAGAACTGGTTCCAGCTTCCTTGTGTCCTGGGTTTCCTTTTCAATCCGATGAGAGCGGTTTCGATGTCCCTTTCTCCATATGTCTATCATGCTTTTGGGGTTGTCAGATGATGCAAGTGTCTTGTTGCGAAGGGCTCGGATCTCGAGGTCACGACGCCTCGGATTAGTTTAAGTGGCACCGTGGCTTCTCGCTTCGAGGGCTCATGAAAGACACATGATGCTGGAATCTGGCCTCTCGACCTTACTCCTTCGAGGTTCATGGTGGGGGTCGTAGTCGTGATGGGTGCCACGTACAGGTTCCGCTTCCAACAGCCGAAGAAGATGATTGCACAAGTCATCTGTCCCTCGAAAATTCTTCCCCACTTATAAACGCCACCGTACGAAGGAGTCACAACACATTTGAGGAGAAACCGTATTTTTAGAATGTTTAACTCGTACTTCCCCTTTTCCTGTTCCAGCGCTTAATTACGAGGGCGATCATGACCCCTTGCGTGCTGAAGAGAAGCCTCGTGAAGCGAACGAAAGATCTTATGCCGACAAGAAAACGCTGCCGGGTTAAGGAAGCAAGCGAAGTTAGACCCGGTATTACTGAAATGGACTTGCTTATAATATCAGCTTGAGTATGAAAACTCCTCGAGACAGCACCTGACATGACGAAGAACATAGAGAGCGTATAATCACAGGCCTTCATCACCATCATCGTCACTCATGAGTTCTAAAAATACATCACCGGACTCGGTGTTAGTCAACACCAGCAGCTTCAATTTCAACCAGAACGTGAGAGCATGGGCTTCGGTTATATTCAGCAGAATGTTAAAAGCCTGCAGAACAAAACTGCACAGAGCTATCCAAAACCGTCACCCTGCCCTCGCTCCGAGGTGGGGCAAAAGGGCGACGAGATTTAGACGACACAGAGCACGCATCTGCATCTGCATCTGAGTGGGGCGCGAATATGCGCCGGAATCTGTGCGGGCCAAGGATGACGAAAAGTTCTGGACGAATCTCGCAGATTCCGGCTGCCAAAGTACCAAAAGCCCTACGCGACAAAAGAGAGGGCCTGGGTTACCGCAGGGAAAGCGAGGTCGGTCCGCCTAAACTTAACTTTGCCTTAGCTTCAAGGAAGGAAGCCGGTGGCGTGACTGACACCTCCGTCCCTCGCTCTCTCTTTGGGGTCGTGCAATGTGGGACCGGCTGGACTCCGACGACATACATCCATCCATCCATCATCGAGGCCGTTCTAGCATCCAGGCGATGAGTCCGTGTTCTCCTGGGAAGGGTACGAATTTCCATACAGTATGAATCAGCATCGTATGCATGCACAAAGTATAATGAGACGTAGAAAGAGGCGGACGGCGGGAGAAAGAGAAAAGGCAGCTAGCTTCGGCTGCTGGCCGCCCATACGCCCTACTCCCTACGGCCTACGCCATGCGTCACGAGCATACGGTATGATATGAGCCAGGTGGAGCCGGATGGCCCGATACGATGCTGCGAGATGCCGCCATTATTGGTCCTGGTGAGACGTAGGAATGTTTGGCCCAACACTTTGGACGAGTGTTAGTGCAAGCTGAGCACCGATTAATCGGAGAGCGTGGCTTGCAAATCGGTACAAATGTGTGCATACGTCCATCTGTCAGCAGTCGTTTGCAGTTATGGTGATGGCATTCTGTCGGTTCAGACGCTTTTGTTCCATGCGACCCGGTTTCCCTCCTATTTTCTGTCCATAATATGTCCTTCCTTAAATCTCCTCTTCGATCGGGGTTGCTGAGGTTATTGAATGCGTGGCCTGAGCATTGAGGTCTGAGCCTGTGGTAAATCGCCATACGAAGCTTCGAATCTGATCGCAAATCCGATAATATAGCAGCGAAGAATGTAAGACCCATCCACTCGTCCAGCCCAGTAACTTCAACAAGGATCTCTGAACATCGCTCGAAATATACAAGAAGAGAAATACTCAGGTGAAGATGCGAAAGCTTATTCATGAAATATCCGTCCACCCTTTGGAACATGTTTGTCCAGCGATCAGATACATGATTCATTGATTCATTGTCTACAGCGCGTATGCCTTTACGCGCCTTATTTACGAAGGAGGGTAGTGGCTAGTAAATACAAGGAACGACGGCCGGTTCTTGTGGGGCGTTCTTATAGAGAAGAGACGTGCGACGGAGTGTGGACCTCGATGGGAGAGGGGAGGGAACCCCACCGGGATCCGGATGCGTGGCGGTCATAAATGTGTGAGTGCGAGAGAATTCCACGGACAGGCGACGCAATTTGGCAGGCCCTGGGTTCGACTGCGTCCTTTGACCGGACCCGGCTAGCTCACACGACTGAACGACTGGCTCTGCGGCTCAGACTGCTGTCGACAGCAACTCTTGTGGACGGGACTCGACTCAACTCGCATCTCGATCGATATCCAATCATCGAATTCTGGAATCATCCATCACATCACATCGCATCGATCCCAGTTGCCACATCTTCCCGTCCCCAAACGAGCGTCCACAGCAGAGCCTGCAGTCAAGCCAAGCAAGCAAGCGTGCGCGCATTCGAGCCTGAGCCAGTGGGCTATGCATCTAGCTAGGCCGATAGGCAGGGGAGGGAGGGAGCGAGCAAGCAAGGTAGGTCAGTCGGGGTGATTATATAGCTTTCCCAGAGCACACGACATACGGTCGGTCCACTCCACTATCTGAGTTTGTTTTTTCTGTCTGCTGTCATTGATGCGGTCCGGTCCAGTGAGTCACGACTGATCCTGATTTTGCTCGCTCGCTCGCTCTCTCTTTCTCTCTCACTCACTGCACAAAAGCTGTAGTAAACGAAAACGTCCTTTTGCTGGAAAGTGAGCCCCGCAGGGTCGTAGCCTTGGGACGGGACGGGACGGGACGGGAGAGCAGAGGAGGACACTTGCTCATCAAGGCGCACTTGCTTCTGAGAGGCGCAGATGTATTCGAAGGATCGGCAGCTGCGTTAGCACGAAGGTTTTAGTGTCGAGATCGGAGGGGAGGGAGGGATTAAGGAAGGAAGGAAGGTACGAGGAGGTTGTTGCTCAATCCGAGTCGACAAAGGAAGGGGCAAGGAAGGGAGGGAGCGAGGGAGGGAGTCGAGGTGATCGCAAGGGTAGGGAGAAGGGGAGGGGGAGGGAGAGGCTGCCGCTTTACAGACAGGAGATGGACAGATAGATTACAGCACTAGGCTTTCTTTGTTCTTGTTCGTCTAGTTCGAGCTCGAGTTTCGCTCGGGGCTGACTTTCCACGTTTTCCGTGGCCTGGCGTCCGCTGGCAACCACACGAACCACTAGTGCATGAGGGCCCGCCTCGACTAGTGCGGCCATCCCCCTACAGGCCTTAGCTTCTCGCAGTCATCATCCATCTCGTATATCAGCTCAGTGGACCGGCTGCTTTGCTCTGCTCTGCTCTGTTGTCACACATACCCATCCGCATGCAGCAGCAGCAGCAGCAGCGAGCTGACGGAAGGACCACAAGTCTCATTCCGAAGGGTATCTACAACTCGATCCATCCATCAGCAATCCGATCATCTCCAAGAGCAGGTCGACGAGGCGAGTCCTGATAATTGGGCTCGGAGTCTGAGACGGGGAGAGGAGAATTGGGCGAGAGCGGCGAGGAAGAAAAGAAAATTCAGTGGATCGAGGCATCCGCGAACGATGGGCAGGGGAAGAGGATCGTCGACGAATATGGGACTCGCTCAATTGAGCGTTCTATGGTTGTTGAGCTGGCAGTTCCAGGGGCTCATGATCGGCGTCACTTCCCAAGTTCTGTCCACCACTTTCTACGATTTCACTTGCCCCGTGGCCGAACAATTGGTCCAGAACACCGTGCAGCAAGCGTTTCTCCTCGACAACACCATCACCGCCGCCATCATTCGACTTCTGTTCCACGACTGCTTCGTCAATGTAAATTCTCCCTCCGCCTCCTCCCATCTCCACTCCCCTCTCAGCATCCCCTCAGTTCCCTCAGAATCTCGTGCTCCTTCCATTCCATTCTCATCAGGGTACTCCGAACCTGCGAATTTCCTCACTCTCCTGTCTGTAGCTCCGGTTCTCATCGGAAGCTCGCCCATTCGATCAATGCATGGCTAGAGGAAAGTCCTAATGGCCCAAAAATTCAACCGCGTGTCATGAATGTCGACGAATGCAGCGTCATTCGTGCCCTCTGCGCTGCCTCCAGTCGCAGCTATCAATTAACTTCAGAGTATTCGAGAGCTGGACTTTGGTTGTTCTGTTTCTGTGTGCTGTCAAGAGGGACGACTGGAGAGTCGGAATCGGCTGATAATAATCGGAAAGCTCTGGCTCTGGCTCTGGCTCTCTGGCGCAGGGATGTGACGCGTCCATTATGCTGGCGGGGCTCAACAGCGAGCAAGTTGCCGTGCCCAATCTCACCGTGCGAGGCTACGACGTGATCAACAACGCCAAAGTACAGATCGAGGCCGTCTGCCCGGGAATCGTCTCGTGCTCGGACATTATCGTCCTCGCTGCTCGGGATTCCGTAGGTCTGGTAAGCAACCGCATGCACCGCATCCCTTGGCGCTTTGTTTTGGAACTCTGAGCTGCACTGCACTGCAATGCAATGCAATGGATTGGAATGGAATGCAATGGAATTCGTGATCCGGGGGCTAATTCAGACTCGTCTGCCGCCGCCGCTGCTGCTGCATTGCGGGCGAACAGCTCGGAGGGCCGACGTACGACGTCGCGCTGGGGCGACTGGACGGACTTGGGCCGGGGAACGTGGTGCTGCCGACGCCGTCCGACACGGTGGCCACGTCCATCGGCCAATTCCTCTTCAACGGGCTCACGGTGGCGGACATGGTCGTCCTTCTAGGTGAGTCAGCACACTGCCCTTGCTTGCCCTCGTCGCATGAATGCCCGTCGGCCCGTCCACGCACGCAATGCTGTCTGTCGATGAGCAGAGGTGGCATCGAGGACATGGCACGGCACGGAAGCTGACGGCGCGGGCGGTGGTGCTGTGCAGGGGCGCATTCGGTGGGGCAGTCGCAGTGCCAGTTCTTCAACAACCGGCTCTACAACTTCAACAACAGCGGGTTTCCGGACCCGAGCCTGAACGCAACGTTCCTGGCGACGCTGCAGGGCCTGTGCCCGCAGAACGGGTCGGGCAACGCCAACGTGCCACTGGACGACCAGACGGAGTTCGTTCTGGACACCGACTACTACCGCACGATTCTGGACGGGCGCGGGCTGCTGACCATCGATCAGGACCTGGTGGCCGACGCCGGCACGCGCAACGTGGTGGACAACTTGGCCGGCCGCGCCAGCGACCTCAACCTCACCTTCTCCTCCGCCTTCGTCGCGGCCATGGACAAGATGTCGCGCATCGGCCTCAAGACGCTCATCGACGGCCAGGTCCGCCGCGTCTGCTCCGCCGTCAACTGATTCTCGCCCCCCACATTTTTGCTCCGCTGTGTCTCCATTCTCTCCCTCCCTCCCTCATGCTCCTGCTCTCATCCCTCGGCTGCCACACGCTTCATGCCGCCTTCTCATTTTTCTTCTCGGTGCTTTGGATTTCGGATCTTCATTTCGGATCCGAGCCTGCATTTCGATTGTCTACGGGAGGACACCCAATCTGCGCACATGACAGATCTTTGTAACTATAGATTGCCCAGAGATTTTCGAGCAATAATTTTTACGCAGTTCCTTCTTACTTGTATATCTGAGGAATAAAACTTTAGCGAAATTTGAGAGAGAGAGAGAGAGAGGATCAGTTGCTTGGAGTGCGTGCGCGAGTACATATGCAAGAAGCTCGAGAATGGTGCGCGCACACAATTAGGTGCTATAGAAGAAGAAGGCAGCAGATATTGTAGGACATTGGCGAGTCGTGTGGGTGGGTACTTCCGCACGAGCATGCAGAACGACGAAGAGGACGACGACGAACCCGCAAAATTGAATCTGAGCTCGAATTCGACTCGACAATTATTGATTGATTCAGCTGAGAAGTGCCTCGGCGGACTATGAAGGAACCGACGAACGACGACATATCGAAAACTTAGACGAGAAATTGATCGACGACATACGGAACGAGAGAACGAATTGAGTTAATTAGCCTTCGAGTGTACTATGTGCGTCCACGGACGGACGATCGGATGAGTCCGGAGGACTTGACTGACTGACAATCAGACAGCAGCCTCCTCCCCGGCGGCTGGTCCGGTCTGATCTGGGCTTCCTATTTGAGTAAAGCTATTTCCACTCGATTCATCCCCTACTGCTCTGAGTCTCTTTGTCTTGTGGTCTCTCCCATCCCCCATGCGCCATGGAATTTCTTCTTCTTTCCGAAGTGTGAGAATAATTCTATTTCCGACTCGGACGATGCGAGACCGTCACCAGCTTGAGAATGAATGGATGCACCGATACCCTCTACTCGTGCGTTGTCTGTATCTGGCACGACGGAGCTGCTGTCTGTATGAATTTCTCAAATGGTGACACGAAGCATGGGGGCATGGCACGAAGGGTTGAGGGTGAAGAGTGTGTGGGTGTGTGTGTGGGTGGGTGGGACACAGAGAGTGCTCGCTCGGACTGAGTTGTCATCCAACATGGTCGCGTGTCTCGAGGAAGAAGTAGGCTCCGCAATCTGAAACCCGGACTCTACCTCTACCGTCAGTCATACTCCTTCGACAGCGAGCATTTTTCTGGAGATTCGGATTTCGTCTTCATCCTCGGTTGACTTGTGCCACCACGACCGCCGTGGGTATCGAACGATCTGCCAGCACTTTCCATCCGGGCACCCTGGTCCCGATTCTTGTCGAGGGATCTCTCTCTCTGTCTCTGTGTCTCTGTAGTCCTCCACTCCGAAGAGGAGTGAAGGAGGGAAGAGGGAATGCTGGGAAGCATGTCACGAGGAATGTCCACAGAGGTTTCCGTGCCAGAGAATATTCCAACACTCGAATCCCTCAACAATGCTCGACGGTTTGTACCGTCTCCATGAGGGAAAGTCGTGCGAGCTCGAACTTTAGCTTTGGAGCCAGTGGAGGAGGGAGCAGAGCTGCCACCTTCTCCACTGAGCGAAAAGGATGGAGCTAACATTCCTGCTGATGATTCTGTGTCAGACCCAGCACCTGAAGAAGCGCTAGCGATTGCAAACCAACGAGTCTCTATCCCATGCTGCATGATTTCTTCTGACTCGACCGCCAGAGTCCTGCTCAGTGCAGAGTGCACTGAGCTCAGGTTGTAACAAACGAACTCATGAGACCGAATCTTTTAAAAAGGTCGAAACCTTGACTGCTCGGGGATCGTTGGAAACTCCTGCAGTCACTTGGGGGATCGCGAGAGGTGCTCGCAGGGTGACCTAGCTAGCGCCGTGCACTACAATCAACAGTTACAGCTATAGTAAAATGTGCTGTGAGGTGCGTCGGCTGTCAGAAGTGGAGATTGTTGTTCAGACTATTCCGCTGCCACATGCTTGTTCGAGACAAGGCTAATTGGCCCGACTGGCTGATCTCACAAGCAGGAGCTGAAGCAGCACGGGGACGGTGCATTTGCACGGCAGTACGCCTGTTTAGAGAACGGATAAGCTCCATAATGAACAAAAGGGTCGGAAGGAATATTGCTGTGGAGTGTCAGAGTGAGTGTTTACAGGATTGGCTCGAGTGCCACATTCTCTCTGGCTGACGCAAGGGATCCCAGTGATCCCAGTGCATGTTTGGCATAGGCAGTCGAAAGTTGATCTCGGGCACCCAGGCCAGGTAAGGCGAGCAAGGTCATGAGTGTGAGCGATAGATCGATGTCATAGGCAGCAGTCACGAGCACAGGCCAGCTGAAGCCTCGAAAGGTTCTGAAACTCATGGGGCTGTCAGTTTGGCTCGAGCTTCATACATACAAGCCCTGATCCCAAGAATCGACTGCAGAAACTGCACATGGAACTGGTACACTAGTACCTAAGAGTCAGGTAGAACTGGAAAGTCCTCGTCTATGATACGCGTATCTGCCTCGTCTCGCCAGCTGCTGCAGGTACGATAAAATTTGCGAATGCACGGCCATGGTAACAGCAGCATGATGCAAAACTCCACTCCAGGTCGAAGCCATAGAATCCAGGGCCCACTCTAGAAGGACGACGACGTATGATGAGATTGCAGGTAGGGTAAAGGGCTGCACAGACAATGGTCCACTAGGGGAGGTCGATCTAATCGAACTCGGGCCGCGCTTCCCGCGGCTTTGGCCGATCTTTTAGGTGCTGACTTTCCACACTTGTGCTCTACACTGCTTCTGCTCTGGCAGAGAATATGAGAGTGGATTTGGATTCTCCATGTCTAGAGTGGGCAGAAGGGCAGAACCAGAAATATCAGACTCAGGAGAACGAAAAGGGCGATGAGAGAAGAAGAATCCGACTACATTTTCAGGATTATATAAAATGGTCCTCTCCGCTCAATTGACCTCCAGAAGCTATGATTGAATATCGAGCGAATCATTTGCCATTTACTGCATCATTCTTTCCAACAATGATTGCTGGAGGGCGGAAGGGCTTGAGCTGTAGGGCTGTGAATGATGAACAGGAAGATCACGACAAAGGGGCCACAGGTCGAGGAAAGAGTAAGCCTATGAACGAATAGGGATTTTATTTCGGACCATGGGCCCACAGACACAAAGCACATTGTGAACGCACGAGAAGCCATCATTCACAGATCACATTGAACTCGGCCGATAAAAGTTTCAATCCGTGTGAGTCGGAGCTTGACACTAAGAGCTAGCCTTTTTTTCGACTTTGGGGGAGAACCTGGATGAAAGCTGCGCCAGATGCTCTGATCTGGTCATCTGAATTCAATGGGCATTGACGAAATTCAACCCCATGAGCTCTCTTCTTCTCGTTCCGATAGAAGATAGATTCCAGAAGGAGGCCTGATAGACTAAGCTTTCCTCCTTCAATGCACCCATAAATGTCGATCATCTTTCTTTAAGCTCATGACCGACCGAACACGAAGGTCGCGCCATGGACTCGAGTCTGAACCTAGGACTAGCTTTTGACTTCAGCTGGAGCACTGCCTTTCGTCTTCCAGGACTGAGATTTTGAAACAGTACAACGAAGGCATCGAGAGAGAGAGAGATCACTGCTTCACTTTTGCCATAACAAAACAAGAGAGAGAGAGAGAGAGAGAGAGAGAGAGAGAGAGAGAGAGAGAGAGAGAGAGAGAGAGAGAGAGAGAGAGAGAGAGAGAGAGAGAGGTTAGCAAAACATGCCTGTCCCATAACCCTGCTCAATTTCCATTAGTACGCTGACGATTCGTAGCAATCGAGTACAGAATGCAACGATTCGTGCTGCAGACCTCGAGGAAGACTGCTCTCGACAAAGCTCCCTGCGGTCCGCAGCTACTAGAAAGTAAGTAAGAAAGACTTGGACTTCAGAAAGTTGGAGTTTCTGGGTCTGGATAGCGGTGCCATGTACAATGAACGGACTGACGCTTGTTCCCCAAAGAATCGATGCGTGAAGTGAGAAGGGCTCTGGCAAAAGCATCCACGACAGCTATAGCTACAGCATGTCCTCCATCCGAACCGATGCGATGACACCTTTGGAAATGGCTGTCGAAAGGTCATGGAGAGATTCCCACGCCTAATGCCTCGAAATTGTTGTGCTGCCAAAGTGAGGCAGGGAAGAGATGAAGATCATGCGTAGCTCTGAAGCTTAACTTTTGTAACAGAATATTCGATCCATGTCCACGAAAGATGATGTTGACCTGCAAGTGGTTCTCAGCAAGACAACGAACGCATCACCAAGATTGCCTAGCCTCACCACTGCGTGAGTTTGTTTACCTCTTTCCATTTCTGATGGGAATATGCATTACGTCCATTATCATAAACCTGCGTCTCATTGCAGTTCTCAGAAAACTCCATCTCTTGGTGATAATGTGGTCCTCAGAAGGCTCCACATAGATGGCCATCACTTTCTTGCTGATCTCATTTATGGCTTTCAAGTCCTCAGTTAGTGCTCTAAACTTTGGCCCAGCATACTGAAGCTCCCCGCAGTTTATAATATGATTTCTGAATTGAGCGCGCTGACTACTTCCACTAATGTCCTTCCTATAAGCTGCACTGCCTTCTTTTGAAGGCAGGTAGGCTTCTGATCCGTTCTTAGTCAAGCTCCCTGGTTTCAATCTTGAAGATTCGAATCCGTCTGGGCACTCTAAGACGTATATCATTGGTGCCTTGAAACGAGTTCAGCACTTCTAATCTAATGACACTTGCTTGCTGCATCAATTCAGCCCATCCCGGATACGTTTCAGATTATGACCCACTTGCAGAAAAGAAGACTTATGACTGCTGGTTACAACTCTCGATCCCAAAGATCCCACGAGAACTGCCTCTTTAGTGGCACATGGAGTTCTCCTTCCTGCAGCACGATGAATCGATCGAGGACCTTAAAGGCCAAGTTTCACGCACTCTCCCATTCCAATTTAACCGTCCTCGAGCTCAAGCGGCCAGCCTCGTGCACTCGTGTCAAGTCCGTGCTACGGCCATGAGCGGCATCAGCAGCGCATACTTCAAGTCTGTAGCACTCGCTCTGCTGCTGGTTTTCTCATGGGACCGGCAGCTGCAACATGCCACTGTAATGGCTGACTTCCCGTCCTCGACCTTCAAGAGGAACTTCTACAGCGAGACGTGTCCCGATGCGGAGAATATTGTGTTCCGAGTTGTGGCCAATTGCCTACTCACGAATCCGGAACTCGGAGCAGGAATCATTCGTATGCTGTTCCATGACTGCTTCGTCAACGTAAGTTAGTCTTGCTCTGGCTGGACCGTGCTTGCGTATGCATCTGGTGTATGTATCTGGTGGAGATTAAGTTGCACGACTGACTCGACTCGTACAGGGATGTGATGCATCGATACTTCTCGAGGGCACGGACTCGGAGCTCGAAGCGATTCCGAACCAAAGCCTCAAGGGCATCCGAGTTATAGAGCAAGCTAAAGCGAATCTAGAGGCCGCATGCCCCGGAGTGGTGACCTGTGCTGACATCATCGCTCTTGCTGCCAGAGATTCCAGTTTCTTGGTACGTCTGTATGCTCAGGAGCTTGGCAACCGTACTCCTGTACGTTTTGAAGTATTTCTTGCGCACATGTGCAGAGCTACTCTCGACTCGAGCTCCTTGGACCATTGAGTGAATGAGTGACTGAGAGAGTGATTTGGCTGTCGTGTGTGGGCGGGTGTTTCTCTTTAGCTGGGAGGCAAATACTTTGAGATCAAGACGGGGCGATTCGATGGGACGAATCCTGGTGTAGTAATTTTGCCAGCTCCTACCAGCAGCGTAAGCGACACCCTGCGCTTGTTCACCGACGTTGGCCTTAGCCCAGACGATCTCGTAGTACTTCTGGGTCAGTAAATTCTGTCATCTTTTCTACCCAATTCACTGAATCGTCGTTTATTCTGGCTTCCGTGAAAGAAAAGTGTGTAGCCTCGGTCGAGCTGTGAGCTGTGAAAAGGTATTTCGAGGACGTGGAGTCCTTGAGAGTCAGCTGCAGATTGAGGATGCCACCCTCGAGGCCCTAGGGGCCTGTGGGTTTAGGACCTCGAGTGGTCACAGCAAGTGAGGGACGAGTCTCAAGATTTTGTGGGTTCTATGATCCTGGCTGGCTGCAGGAGGACATACATTGGGAGTATCGCAGTGCCGTTTCTTCTCCAGTCGCTTGTACAACTTCAGCAGCACCGGGCGAGCAGATCCCACGATGGATGCAGGTTACAGAGCGGTTCTGCAGCGGCGATGTCCTCAGGACGGTGACGGATCCGCAGAGCAAGAGCTGGACCGGGGCTCGGTTCTGTACTTGGACAACAGCTACTACCAGAATCTGTTGAGGAATCAAGGACTTCTGCAGATCGACCAGCAACTGACTTACGACGACAGAACCATTGGCCTTGTGCAAGATCTCGCTCACTCCTTCGCCACCTTCCAAGAGGCATTCGCCGATTCTATGACCAGAATGAGTGAGATCTATGTCAAAGGTCCCAGCCATGGCGAGGTTCGGAAGGTCTGCTCCTCTGCCAACTAAGATAATCCAGAAAACCCCACATCACCAGGTTGTAACCGAACAGTTTTCAAACCTTTCCGGAAATATTCGCGGGGTGACATGAAATCTAACTCCCACCGGATGAATGGATCGACAAATTCTCCCCCGAGCCTCAGGCTGCAAAAAGCTCACCCCTGCTTTCTCCAATTTGGGAAAATTACTGTCGAGCCGGTATCACATCACTTTAAATCCCAGAAAGAGGTCACATCTCGTGATGAAGACGGGCGTACTACACTGCGCCAGTCTTCTTCACGTGGGCCGGGCCATGGCATCTGTGTGACGGGGAAGATCTGGCTTTTTGGGTGAATTTTCCAGGTGGAAGCCATCTCCCCCTTGTTTCTGTATAATTCACTAAATATAATACACTCAAGCGTGTGATCAAACCAAAAAGCATTCTCTCATCAAGGCAACAGCTTTACCTTCCAGCATTCACCTCTCAATTGCAATCTTGGCTCGCCAAGATGGTGGCCTGATGTAGCCATGAAGATAAAGATGAAGGATGCTTGATAGACACAGCTTGCAAAGGAATATGGCCATGTGCGGGTGAAGTTTGTGGATGCCTAATGCTGTTGGAACATCGACTCCATCCACTGCTGCTGACCCTCAGCGACGTTCATCAATCCTCCTGGAGACTTGATTCTTTTTCATTCCATTGTAACAGTCAGGGTCAACTAAAATGAGACCAGCTGGAAACATGTGCTTCTGGTAGCAAAGGCTTGGATCTAGATACCCTGACTCGACATCACGGGCGCTATGTTGTTGATCTGGGGTGGGAAACAGCTCACGATGCGACCACATATCCTTGCTTGAAAAAACTCAGAGTCAGGGAGAACAGTATTTGATTGCTGAAACAAGTACTATACCTTCCCGAGCGGTTTGATAAATCATTGTGTACTGACGGCGACCTGTGTGGTTAGCTACTATGGTGACAAGAAAGCAACCCCGGAGTCAGCCGCTGCTTTACTCGCTGGCTGGGTTGTACTTCATTGACAGCTGATGACCACTTTAACGTTTGCTGTGTTCATACAGTTCGCTATGATCATCCGGTTAAATTTAATGCCATATCGACTGGCATCGACCGACATAGATCGAGCATTGGAATAAAACCAGAATCAGGGCGGAAACATGTGAAGCTCATGGAAGATTGGATGCCCACTATTTTGAGAAACTCATTTTTCTGTTGTCAAGAAAAGGTGCAAAATGTCATCTGAAGAGTCGAACGAACTCTCTGAGTAAGAGAGAGAAAGAGAGAGAGAGAGAGAGAGGAACTGTATCAACGAAACCTGCCCGAGAAGATAAAGAAACAAAAGAGAACGATGGGCAGGGGAAGGTATCAATGAAGGAGGGAAAGATGGATCGGATGCGCAACACCAAAAAGTTGAAAACACAAAGCGGTTGCACATCCTGTTTCGATACTTGAAAACTGGAGCTAGAGAGGCCATTCACAACCAAAAGGTGACAGCACCGGATGTATTTGCTTCTGGCCCTGTCTGAGGGAGGAAGGACGAGGGGGGCGAAGCTTCTACCAAAGCCAGTAGATTTGGAGCACCTCCACTTGCTGTAATGGGAGTATGGGTCCATTGGTACGACATTCGGCCGACTCACATTGACGTCCTTCTGAGGTGCACCATGCATATTCGGAGCTTTCCTCTCGTCAGGACCTAACATTCCAGAACTTGTCCCAGTGGGCAGACACGCCCAATGATTGAACTGAGCTAAAGAACGAGTACGACACAGAAACCGGTTACTGTCATGGGGCCATCCTTGATTTAACATTTGTGAGCTCATTGGGCACAGGGCGGTTCGGATTTCCTCGAGTCTCAGTGAGAACTCGAGCTCGGATTTCGTGCTCGAGGCTCGGAACCTGTCGAAATGTCAAAACTACGACTCCCAGGGTTTTGTGGCGATTGGAGTGGCACGGAAGGAGTTGAAAGGAATCCATTCTAGCCAGCACGCGCATCGATGCTAGCTAGAATTTCGTCTCGTTCTAATCGCTGTCAGCTCTGCTAACGTTTCAAGCTCACAAAGCTCAGCCCCTCCAAATTCTAGCTCATGAGCTTTTCTCACAGGTTCATGTGAATCCTCGGGGCCGATTTTCGTAGGCGGCTGATCTCGAGGCTGATCGTTCGTGTAAATTTCGACACACGCGTCGCCAGAATCACGCTCTTCTCAAGCAGATGGCCATGATGCTGGACTGGATGTCCGGCACCAGGGCCTGGCCCCACAGCATGCTCTCAGCAGGTGGACCTGGTTCAAGAGCTGGTGTGTCTGGACAGTCATGTCCTCCCTCCGGATGTTCATCGGCTTGGTGGACCCTTCTGTGAAGGAATGAATTTGGCTTGAAGCTTGAGGATTGAAGCTTTTGTTCTATTGATTCTCGGCATCTATGCCTCCCATCAAGTCGGATATGGGATTTGGAAGCTAAAGACCATCGCTCTCAGGGTACCTCTGAGCTCGAAACATCTGCACTCGGGATCGGATGATGGATATTTCTGAGTTCTCGTAAATCATACAATCAAGCTCTTTGCATAAAGTGTATATAAAACATCAGCCCCTGACCCGGCACCTTTACAATGAATGACTGGGCTCATCGGTCCACCTCCTTTTCATCTTCCTTTCCGTCGAGAGAAAGAGAAGATTGCGTTTCATCTGGAATCTGAACTGCAGCGTTACAGTTGCAAGATGCTAATTTTCAGATGGAAAGGGTGCCTCAGAAAAAAGTTGTGGGAGCGAGAGTGCTGGTACCCATCCATGGATACATCCTGGCTGGAGCTGAGCTTAATTAGCAGCAGCAGCATTGTCAGATTAGCTTGCAAACAGAGTATTGATCACGGAGATTCCGACAGATTCTCACAGTTGCTGGTAATGTGTTTCTGGCTGCAAAAGCTCGCCTTCTGATATTTCGTCTCTGCAGAGCGAATTATCGGGCTCCCCGTTCGGGGCGCAAGTCAAACGCGTCCAATGCATGGGCTCGAAACGTCGCATGGGAGTGTGCCCTCGTCGAAGATCTATCCAGACGGGTCTAACAAAACGCATCAGCAAGAGAGACATGACGTCGTCCGTCGTCCCTTCTGCTCCTTTCAGCCGACACCGAGTCGAGTCCAAGTGGTCCAGGCCTGAGCCTCTTCCTTCTCTGGAGCGCTATCCTTCCTTCCCGTCTGCAGAACCGAGATGACCGAGTGAAACAAGCTGCATCGAAATGAATTGAACCGAACCGGAATTTTCTGCGATGGGCTGTCTCGTCCTGACTCGATCGAATTGGCTAGAATTGACGTCAAGACTGGATGGCGCGAGTCCTCTTCTTCGCGAGTCCGGCCAGAGCAGAGGCCAGCAGCGTGCTGCAAATTCCAGCTGTTCCGTGATCGGGCATGGGGATGGGGACGGGGACGGAGCCACCCACCGTCCAGCCTTTTCTCTGCCATTCGATTCCATGCTCTCGACGCTTCGCCATCTTTCCGCATGCCGGCTCCGTGACATTGACCTCGACAATCATCGTCTTGAGGACTGTGATCGGCCAACCGCAATGGTTGATAGAAGTAGACAACATCAAATTCTTGCACTTCACAACCTGAACAATCAAAAGCATTTTCTAATGATGTATCTCTCTTGCCTTGCTTTCACCACCCTCACCAACTTTTTCTATCTGCACTATACAGAATTCTAGTTACAAGGAGCATTCTCATGCGCTTTGTCTACGTGGGATGTTTGTATCCCCTTATACTCATACTGTCTAACCTGAATGTTGAACATGTTTTCATAAAATATGAATATTAACAATCCGCCTAAGCTTTTTAGTAGTCAGAGTAGACTGAATCTTGAAAGTATATTCACTTTCAATTTATATCAACCCCTTCAATCGTCAAAGTTGTGTTCACAAGCGATCTCACAACGCGAAGACAAGCTCGTTGGAAATCAAGAGAATTGCAGATGAGTCCATGGGTACCAGATGCTAGGTCCAATCCCAAGGAAAGTCCCCGTTGAAGTTTGGATTCTATAAATAACAGCCTGTCATTTTGGTGTACAACGTGTCTCCCAAGCTTCACAAGGTTTGACTTTTCGCCTCGACATTGAGAAATTGTATCTATAACAGGGAGTTGAGACTTCACAGCTGCTGTTGTGTCCAGGGTCTCTGTTTCCAAAACAAGAGTATATTCTTAGTAAAACTTATCGGAAGCGTCTGTTCTCTCCATATTCTATTAAAAAAGTAATCTCATAGTACCGATACCATGTTTAAGAACAAATCTCAGAATACGGCACTTGAAATATCTATCTAATAATATATATATAATGATAATGAATGATGAATAATATCTGTTGAATGATCTTGTACCTACAATCACACCTGATCTCTGTTAGGTTGTTTGTAATGAACTGTGACAGTGTTAGAGAGGTACCGAGGCCACTTGGTACTTTAGGTTAACTAGCCGCAGCCTAAACCCTAAATCCTAAGCAAGCAGCCTCTTGGCGTCCTGTGTGTATATGTACTTAAGCAAGTGTTTTTCGATATCAAAGGAACCTGAGTGATGGATTGACTCATTTCTACATGGTATCAGCGCGAGGTTCAAGGTTATCAAAGTGTTGTAGTGAGCACTGCTCCTGCATGTTTTGTTTTTCAGTACTTACGTTTATTCACTAGGTGAGCACTGCTCCTGTATGTTTTGTTTTTCAATACTTATGTGTATTCACTAGGTGAGCACTGCTCCCTTTTCTTTTAGACTTACGCGTTTATATTGAAGTGAAGCATTACTCCTATTCAAGTCAGTTTTCTCTACAATCATAGTATTCATGTCTAGCTTCAATACTATTCATGATTAGAATAAGTTGGAAAGAAACGTCAACTACCAAACATGGAAGTTCAAGATGAGAATGATATTGATATGAGAGAATTCATGGCGATTCACTGACCCTAAGGTGGACAATGTGATAAGATCCGATGATGAGGGAGATGATATCTCACAAGGAAAAATTTGAGCTCTTGCTACGATAGGGCTGTCACTTCGAGACGAGATTTTTCCTATTATTGCCGAGTGTACAAATCCTAGAGATGCATGGGTTAGATTGCAAAACTACTTTCAAAGTGGAAACAATGCATCTAGACTCATGTTGAAGGACAAACTAAATTCCATCCGCCTCCTAGACGGTGCTTCAGTTTCAGATTACATACGTCAAATTCAGGAAGTACGTGTTGAGTTAGCAGGCATTGGTCACGTAGCGTCTGAAGAAGAGATCCTAGAACGTATGCTGAATTCTGTACCACCTAGTTTTGATGCCATCTACCAAAGCTTTTGCAACAGCGAAGACTTGCTCACATTCGATCAAGTTGTAGCTAGACTCCTGCAAGACGAGAGTCGGAACAACATGCGTTTGAAGGTTACAACCTCCGCCAAAGAAGAAGCATTGGCGCTCCGCTTCACCAACCGTAGCTCCAATTCCAACTTTCGACCAAGCAACCATTCTCACCAAACCGGTATGTCTCGAAATGACACCATTGGACCAGGTGGATTACGTACCGATTACAATGGTTCTCGTCGTGTCCCAGTTGGCCCTTGCAACTGGTGTGGGAAAATGAACCATCTCATGCGCAACTGTCGCGAGCTTGCTAATGAGGTTACCAAG